ACAGCCACCAAACGCATGAGGGAGCGAGTCCTGGGAATGATGATGTGCTAACCAGAGCTTTTTACATGTTAAGTAGAAGGTCCCTGTCGTCTCCTTTTTGATGTAATTAGCCCTGACAAGATTACCTGCAGGGTCTGAGAGCCGCCTTAGCCGGACAAGGCAGACAAGGCCAGGATGAAATCTGATTTCAAGACCTTCCGTATGCAGGTACTGAGCCTCCAAATCTAAATGGATTCTACCATTACAGATGAGATGAAGGGTCCCCAGTTCCTGTATTCTGCCCTGATTGGGTTCTTCCTTCAATGGGTCCTGTGTCTCGGCCGGGCCACTTGTAGGGTTGCCAGATGGCTGAAAAAAAAATATCACCCCCACCCCACCCCACCCCCAAAAAAAACCACCAGGAAAAATTTTTAATCCCCATCTGCCATTAATTCCCTTTATGCACTAGATGACTTGGTTATTCCTTTATTGTTACTCCTTTTTTCCCTCTAATTCGTTAATGACTTTTTCATATTTAGTCCAGCTTTTCATAAACTAGATGTTTTTATTCAGAGTCCCTTACACAAAAGAAAAGGGAACTTACGAATCATCTGCTTTTTTACAAACTACTTTTGCACATTACTGCCAAGCTTGCTGTATGAGCCAACATCTTCCTTGGTAATTGGATGGCTGTTGCAGGAATATATCACTTACATGATACTGAGCCATTCCTTGCCGCTCGGCAGAGGGCTCTGAGAGCATTATAGTGCCAATAAGATGTTGCAAGGATTAAGAGCTGTTTGGCAGCTCTCAAAAAGTAGCTTCCAGTGGGGAGTTATCAGGCCCACCGATTGTGGGGGGGGAGGAGGAGAAAAGGAGGGGTACAGTTTCCCCGGGCCCGGCAATTCAAAGAGGTCTGTGGCTCCTGGCTGTGCTGCTCCTGTGGCAGCCAGAGCCTTGGGACCTTTAAATCACCGCCGGAGGACACAGCGTATGGTCCCGGCAGTTCTTAGGGCTGCCTAGAGAGGGCCCCAGGCAGCATTTGGCAGGTGCCACAGCCCCGCCCCTTTTGCCTGAGGCCCCGCCCCATCTGGGGGGGAGGAGCCAGCCCCTTCATACACATCTTGTCAGGGGGCCTGCGGCGGCTGTCCACTCCCTTGGGATTTATCACTGAATGGGAGTGTTTCCGGTGGGGTTCGGCAGCGGTCGGTGCTAGGCCGGATGCGGTTTGGCATTTTCCTCCATGAGGCGGAAGTCGATCGAAAACAGCTGCTGCTCCAGAGCAGGTGGCACAAGGATTGGCAGAGTGTAAAGGATGCGGACAGGGCAGTGACACAGGGGGGCGGGGCCAGCTGGCCATCCCACCAGACGCAAAGCTGTGCAGGCGTAGGTAAATACAGAAGGCAGTCGTGTCCTACCAAGAGCTGACTGTAACAAGGGTTTGGGAGCCATCATGAGCTCCCCGTCAGCTGCTGCTGTGGCAAAGGGGGCTCTTGCCACCTGGGGGCGTGCAGGCAGGGGAGTTGTGAGTCGGAGCCACGAGGTGATTTTTACCTCTGTACGTGCTGTGAGTGAGACCAGTCCTAGAGTGCATACGGGTCTGAGCTTCACCTTTGAGAAAGGGGGCTGGAAAATTGGAGAGGGGGCTGATTTGAGGGCTGGAGAAAATGCTGCACAGCCAGAGACTTAAGGAGCTCTGTTGGTACTAATGGCACTGCCGCAGGGCCACCGCTGTGCCAATGGGGGAGCCCTCCTGTTGACATGGCACTGTCTGCACAGGGAGACAGGCCAGCTCACCGGCCTTGCTCAGAGATGTGTATTTTCCAGACCCTCGAGCGACAGAGTTCTCTCAGGGTAAGTTTGTTGTGAGGAGCAGAGCTTAGAAGTGACTTGACTCCAGTGTACAAGTCTCTTTGGGGGGCGAATCCCGGCTCTTTGATTTAGTCTCCTCAAGGGAAGTAGTAGATTCTCCATCTCCGGGTGTCTTCAAATCCAGACTGGCTGTCTTTCTAGAAGGCATCAATAGCCACGTGCAGCCTACTGGGCTCACTACAGGCAGGGCCATTCCCAGGGGAGGGCCTGGCCTGGAGCAATGTTCCTGCCCCAGGTCCCATTCCCACCCTGCCTCTTCCTGCCCCTCCTCTGCCTAGGGTTACCAGCTGTGCGGTATTCACCCGGACAATCCGGTATTTGCAAGCTGCGTCTGGTAAAAAAAACAGTCCGGTATTTCTGACAGGGGAGCCCTCCTGGACAGAAGCCCAGTGGGGACAATTTTCCCCTGCCGCATCTGGTGGGGGAGTGAGGAGTGCGGCAGAGGCGTAGCGAAGGGGAGCAGGCGGGGACACATGCCGGGTGTCATGCTCGGGGGGTGCCAGGCTGGGGTAGGAGCAGAGCATATGCTGCTCTGGCCCATGTGACCAGCAGAGACCCGGGAGCTGGCCACGTGATGCCTCCCTCAACAACAGCTGTGGCCAACCAGTGGCTCTTGCCTCCCAAAAGTGTGGCAGGTGCGCTGCTCCTGTCCCCCCGAGTCCCTGGCTTCCCTGTGCTTACCGGGTGGAGCTGTGGGGTTTAAAATATATTGCTCCACAATTCTGTTCTGGTTTGGTTTTTTGTTTTTTTGCTTAACTTTTTTGTCCCCTCCCCCCCCCCTTTTTTTTACCCTCAACAGAATTTTTTTCCGGTGTTTTTTTTTGGGGGGGGGGGGGGGTATTTTTTGTTAAACCATCTGGCAAACCTACCTCTGCCCCCACCCTGCTTCCACTCCACTCTGTCCCTCCTGCTCCACCCCCACCTCTTCCCACTCCTGCTGTCGACTCATATTTGGCTTCAAGTCCTGTCTACATTACTTGATTCCACTTATAAACCAGATTAGGGGACAGCCAGGTAGTAACCAAGTCCCTTGGCACAGTTACAGTTGTAATGCAGATGGGACTGTTGCCTTATTAGCTGTAGCGTGTCCGTGAAACTGTTCTTGGAAAGTAACTTTCTGAGGTTATTCTACAATTATCTTCGGCATTTTGGTTTGTCAGACCCATTGCCTTATCTAAAACGTGGTTCCCATTGCCGCCAGCTATCTGTTTTAATTCTAGTCACTCATCTGCAAACCTGCGTTGAATTTCTCTATTCGGTTGTGCTCATGAAGCACATTATTGGGGCTGTCGTTATTCTAAATCGGGTGGGCAATGAGCAGCCCACGGGCCAGCTGCAATTCACCAGGGTAAACCCCTGCAGGGCCACCTGACACTTGGTTTACTTGGGCACCTACAGATATGGCCGCTCACAGTTCCTGTTGGCCGTGGTTTGCCAATCCAGCCAATGGGAGCTGAAGGAAGCGGTGGAACTGGGAACTGCGGCCCATGTGAGAGAGAGAAGGGAAAGGATTCTGTTAGCTTCTGCCTGTTGTTCTTTGCGATTTGGTTTTTCATAGGGATGTGAAAGCGTTAACAGTGTACACGGTCAGCCTGGGCTCATCGGTTGACTTTCATGGGTACACACAGGCTCCCGGTATGCGCAGAGAGCCGGCTTAACGTTTTCAGCGGTTACCCATTGACTTGAGTAAACCCATTTCAACATCCCTAGGTCTGCAGCACGATATCAGTCCCTTGACTTCAGTGGAATTACTGCTGATGTGCACCACTGTAAGCAAGAGCTGGGATTCCAGGAGGCTGGTTGTCTCTTTGGAGAGCAGATCAAGCCAGTTGCATTGCTTCTGCTCCATCCTCGATGACTAATTACTACCAAGGAAGTCACTGCTAGGCCAGCCCTTCTGGGTGACAGCCCTGTGCACCGAGGATGGTAATGACAGGGCGGGTGGAAATGCATTGAAAGAAGAGGGTGCTTGTCATGACGGTGCCGGGGGTTGGGGGAAGCAGGAGGAGAAAACGCTTAGTGGTGGGAAAACATTTCACTTGGAAGGGAAGAGATTTGGGAGAGCTTGGATGGTTGGCCACTTTTCAGAGCCCCCCAACAACAAACCGACGGAGCTGACAGATGTTGGGGCTACTCTGTTTTGTTTCTTTATGAAGTAGCATTCGCTTGCCTCCACAAGAGAGGTCATCACTGGGGCCCATCCAACCACTCCTGGCCTCCTGCTTCCTTTAGCAGTGTACCCATCATTCCAGATCCAAACACCCTGCCTATTGAGATCCAGAGCGAGTGTCTGGTGGACATTTTTAATCACTGTGTTTGACTGTTTATGGGGCATCCGTACTACAATAGCTAAATGTGTACAACACCCAGCACAATACAGTCCTTCTCCATGGCTGGAGCTCTTAGGTGCCCCTTCAATACAAATCAATAGTAATAATTAACTAATAATAATATATGTACCTATCCGGTATAGTTTATCAAACTGATCTGAACGCCAATTTCAAAAGGCAGCAACATATGCTGTGCTTGATTTCCTCTCTGCATGCATGAGCAAGCAATTTCCTTTGCTTTACAATATGCAGGTATTTAAAATGGAAACTCTTATTTACTGGGTCAGACTGTCTCTTACTATGTATGTACAGCACCTTGCACAATGGAACTCCAGTGAGAGTTGGGGTTCCTTGTACGGATGTTCAATTTAGATTAATGGGCTATCAATTACTTGATAAGGGTAATTCTCCTCTCCCGCCTCCCCCCCCCACCCCCGTCCTTGCTGCCTCTATCTTACAGAGGCAGCAAGTGGGGAAGAAGCAACTAGTCAACTATCTGATAAACTGTCAACTATCCGCTAAATATTTGCTTATTGGATAGTGGACTAGTCGTTCACATCCCTCCTTCCTCGGTGCTACCATAATAGAGTTGATAAATAGTAACAATAATAACTAATAATCAACAACTGGTTTCCTGTAGATGCAAAATACTAAAGCTTTAGAGAGACTCTGCAAATACATCCAGATTTTGAATTGAGGAGCATGCTGCAAGCATCAGCATGAAATGGTGGTGGCCCATGCTGTGGGAATTGTCTGTGGGGTGGCATCCACGTTCAGCATACAATGTCTCACTTGTGTCTGGTGTTTTAATATGCTCAGGTGGATTTGCAGCTGCAGTCACCACACCTCTCGATGTAGCAAAGACAAGAATTATGCTGGCAAAGGTAAGAGATGGAAGAACACTGAGCGGAGGGGCAGGTGCGTGGTCTGCAGTGCCAAAACTTCTGCACGGTAGCAACAAAATGAAATGTAGCACGACACCTCTTGCTAATGACTTCTGCTCTTGTGCGTTCGGCCGGGAATGTATGTAGATGTGCATAACAGGCACGGGTAAAACCGGTGTTGCGTTACATTGCCCTTTAATTGCTCCTCTTGTTCTTTCACGTCCCTCCCCATCGCTCCCAAAGGAGCCATCTTAGACGTCACTGTGTTTTGTGCTAGGCTGTCTTGAGGGAATGCAAAAGTCTTAATGACGATTTCTTTATGGGGTCAAATTCCCTGCATTCAAAATCCAGGCAGCAGTGTATTCTTGGGAGGTTTTATAATGAGAGGAGCGTGTTCGCATTGCTCTCCAGAGGCAGGCTTCACACCAGACTTTCTGCCCTAGAATTTCAAACCATTGCTGCCACTGCGGCAACTCTGCCAAGGATGGCAAAAAGCAGGGGGGCTCATGTAGGCGGGCCATTGCTGTTTCAATGAGCACGTAATCTGGCCTACCCCAGAGCAGGTCTAGAGCTATAGGAGGGTTAAAATGTGAGCAACTGGTATAGGTGTGTGATCATTTAAGGAGCTGCACTGGCAGAGTTATTTACCCCATATGGGTCACAGCTCTGCGCTACCCATATCCCTGGGTAGAGTAATGAGGCATTTCTCTTGGCCGTTCGCACCTCGTCGGATGAGTGGTGCCGTACTGGACTTAGTGTGCTCTGCATGGCTGTGTGTGTGTAAGAGTGCCTAGGGCAGCATTATTCAGCAGATGTGTCTAAAGGAGGCAGCATGGCCTATTGGGTAGAGTGGAAAGATGGAGGGGCCCTAGAGATTTCAAGAGCTGTAATCAGAGTGTTTGCCCTGAGGTGCCTTTTCCAGATTTTCTGAATGATTGTCGTTAGTACAGAGTATTAAACTAAACTCCCAGGCAAGCTTCTGCTGGGTTTCAAAATGTTGACACGGCAACACTGCCAGGTAGTTCTTAGCCAATGTATTTGTATTACAGTCTGATTCACGTATTAGGTGCATGAGAGGCACCTAATTGGGATTCCCCTGGATTGGGATTCCGGACACCTGGGTTCCATTCCCAGTCTTGCCACCGACCTGCTGTGAGGCTTGGGACAGTTGCTGCACGTCTCCGTGCCTCAGTTTCCCCTTTTGTCCTGTTTATATTGTCTTCTCTCAGTAGGGGTCTGTACAGCTCCAACCACAGTGGGGCCCTGCTCTTGATTAGAGACAGTACCATGACAATAGTGTGTGTGCGCTGCCGTGTAAACGGATGGGTAGCTTGATAAATAATTGGATCTGGCTGATGACTGACTGTACGGCAGTCAGCTCAGTTATGGTCTCTCTGTTCTTGTGATACAGGCCGGTTCCAGCACTGCCAGCGGGAACATACTGTCTGCTCTGCACGGTGTCTGGAGGTCTCAAGGGCTACCTGGGTAAGGACTGACTTGTGAGAGGCTGTTTAGAGGCCAGAGAAGTAAGTGTGCATGCATATAAAAAAGTAGGAATCAACTCGCTGTGCACGAGGCCAAGTCGCTGTCATTCGGGTGTGGGGGTGTGTACAGCACCTAGCACACTGGAGCCACAAGGTTGCAAATATTAACCACTAATATACATTATCCCTTCCTCAGAGCCTGGCCAGTCTTGGATAGGCACTGCCCTTCAGTGTCAGCCAACCCTCCTCCAGCTTTCCACCGTTACCGAGGAATTTTGTGTGAGAAAATATCAGTAATGTCACCTCTGACCCCTTTTTTTGCCCTTTCCCTAGCAGGAAGCATAGGGGGAGGAGGGGACCCAACACCCCGAGAGATCAGGAAAGCAGAGTGAGATAAAAGCAGAGAGAGTGAAGCTGGGATTTGCAGGTGTTTCCCTTCCTCAGTGGGATGCTGCAATGCTGCATTTTGGTCACCGTGTGGCGCCGTGTGAAGCTGTGAATCAGCAACTCCTGGTCTGTGGGCACAGCATCTCCCAGCAGGAAACAGGCCCCCGGGCATACCCTGAGCGCTGGGCTGGAATGCAGAGGGCAGGGAAGCGGCGTTGAAGTGTGCACCCTACAGCTTGTTCTTCCTTCCTCCTGCCCTGGCGCAGGTTTCCAGGGGTTTCATAGTCCAAGGACATTCCTCTTGGGCAAACCCTCTTGCCTCTGAGTGGTGAATAGCTCAGCCTGCCAGCAGCCTGCCACTTAGGCAGACAGTGATGATGCTGCAAATGAGGAAACAGTTTATAAGAGAATGTCTGGGGCTTGCCAGAGCTGACATAGGACATCCAGGGCACAGCATCTCCATTGGATAACACATTCATTACATATGTACCCGTGGCCGGGGGGGGGAGGGAGGGCTGTTTGGAATTGTGTGTCTTGCAGCTGCATTCCCTGACCCTAACAGGCATGAGTCAATGTTGCGCATGGAAGAATTCCACTTGGAGTTCCCTAGGGAAAATGTGTATTAAAAATAGGGATGTAAAAGCTTGTTTAATTGGTGAACCGCTTAAATGTGACGTTTAATCGGTTAACCAGACAAGGAGGAGGGTGCCCCAGTCCAGCTTCCTCCCCTGATCCCCTGCAGCCAGGCTGGAATGGCCTCCTGCCACAGGCAGGGGCTCCGGACGCCTGAAATAGCCCCTCTCCGCAGTGGGTCCCAGGGGGCTGGAGCAGCCCCCTATCCACGGTGGGCAGGGAGCTGCTCCAGCCCTTACCAGTTAACCTTTAATTAACATCCCTAATTAAAAATAAAATCTGAATAGTGATAGAGCTCAAAGCATCAGTCTGATCAACTCAGGCGTTTGCAGCCTTCTGCACAGCTCTGTTTCCCAAAATAATTAGCTACCAAATATTTAACTCATAAGAACACGGTATGGATTAGTGTTTAAGGCACAAGTCAGAGGGTCTGGGATTTCCACTCAGCTTTGGAAGATCCTTGTGTGATGCCAGATGAATCGTCTGAATGCCTCATGCCTCAGTTTACCCATCTGTAAGACTAGAAATAATGCTTCCTGGCCGCACAGTGGAGTTGTGGGTGTTTTGAGATCCTTTAACAAAAGATATAACAGGTGTGTAAATTGGTATTGATTTGCATGGGTACCTGGTTAGTTCTGTAGTGGCTATCGACATGCGGAGTACAAGTCCTAAAACCATTACAGCGGTCCGTTTGCAAGCGGCCCCGGGTTTTGGAATCGTAAATCCTAGATTCCGCCTGCACCCACTGGTTCAGCTGATTGTGGTGGTGGTGTGCTTCTAAGACTGTCGTCAGCCATCTGCTGTGAGTTAATTAAGTCTGTAGTTACGGGTGTGACGTGCAAAATCCACGTGGAGCATTAACTAGATGTGGGGGACAAATGCAGGTCTGGATGGGTGCATGAGGTGTTGGTGTTTTTTCTCCTACAATAAGAATCATTATGCAAATCTCTAGCTTCATTGCTGCTTTTTCTAGCCAGTGCTATTCTTTGCTGTTGGAGGGTTTAGAAGTCACTCGATAGCTAGCTCCGTATCTGCACAACACTGGATGTATACTCTCCAGTCGAGTTCGAGAGAGCTTTCCTTGACAGCCGATCTCTGGTCTCACAACTAGTAAAAGTTCAATATTCTTTTTACATATTTAGAGACTAATTCAAAACAATTTGCAGGAGGTTCCTGGACACTAATTCTAGGAAGCATTCCAGCTGTTCCAGACTAAGACTATATTGGGATAGCGCTTTAAGGTGCCCTGTCTGTGGCCTGGCTTCATGCACAGTCCAGTACTGTGTGTACTTAGAGCACCCCACCCCTCCACAATGGCACATCATTTGTGTTCTTTCCAGGCTATTTCACAAATGGCCACTTCAGATAGTCAGCAATCAAACGCTGCCTTCCGATTGTGCCCTGATGGAATAGAGCCAAAGGGCAACAACACACCTCTCCGGAAAGTGGCACACCCGGTAGAAATCGAAATAATCCTGAGAATCGAAAAACGCAAAGATGGCTAAAGCGTGTCAGCGCTGAGGGGAAGGAAGAAAGCCTGGGGGGAAATAAATGGAGCAACTCCTGTGTCCTGCTGCCAATGATAAATGTATTCATCCAAACCAATACAAGTGTCGGGCTTTTTGGCGGGCTGCAATATAAAATGATATCTGGCTTCTCTACTAACTCCCAGATTTGAAGAGAAGGAATTCCAGGGCAGAGAGATGTGACTTCTTGCCACGTTCGTACAACCAGAGTTCAAGGCTCACTTCCTGTTTTGCACCTAAGAAATCCATGTGCTTCATGCCAATGAATTCACCTCCTTTTCTGTCCAAAAGAGAGAGGGCCCTGCCTTCATGCACATTTTTCAATGCATCGAATAAGGGTGCGATTAAGGCAGCAATATGCACCTAGCCATCGTCCTTGACACTTGCAAATGGCAGTTGAGGTGAGCAGTTTCTGAGCTGCACGCACCAGGCAGGCTTTGTATGCCTTGCGCTTTTCCAGCACCTTTTACCCCAGGCGCTTGTCACACTTTATAGCCGTTGGTGAACCCTTAGACCGTAGCTGGGAGATTGGCAAGTGTTGTTTTCCTCACAGGAAGAGTGAAATGAAATGACTCACCTGAATGTGCATTAGCCAGGATGAGCGGGGATGGTGGCCCTAGTCTCTGTCAGGGCTGGAATGGGCGACGGGATGGATCGCTTGATGGTTGCCTGTTCTGTTCACTCACTCTGGGGCACCTGGCGCTGGTCGCTGTCGGCAGACAGGACACTGGCCTGGATGGACCTTTGGTCTGACCCAGTGTGACCGTTCTTATGTTCTCCGAGATGGTGGCCCAGCAGGTTCCAGCAAGTCCTAGTTCCCTATATTGAGCACTAAGCAAAACTTCCCCAAAGGTGTTCTGGCGCGTGTACATCCCCACACATTATTGCACCCGTTTTAGTCTCCTTCCAGCACTGGGCCCTAAGTGCGTTGCTGTCCAATCCAGAGACTCCAACTGTTAATAGAGACTAGCCATCAGCTTTAAGGGCTCTCTGCTTTAGGAAATGCAACTCACAGGTAGTGCTGAGTAATGGGGCTTAGCCAGTGAGTTACTTTAGGTCAGGGGTGGGCAAAATGGCCTCCGCAGGCCGAATCTGGCCTGCAGATGCCCTGCCGCTCCCCCGCCCCCAGGCCAATTAGGGCCTGGGGATAGGGGAAAGCGCATAAAGTTTCCTCCACCCTGCCAGGTGCGCGTCACACACTCCTGGCAGGAGAGGAGGAGGCTTCATGCGCTCCCCAGGCCCTGATTGGCTTGGAGGGGAAAGGGGGAGTATATGAAGTCTCCTCCACTGCCAGGGGCATGGGCGCCTAGGGGGAACCTCGGGGGGGGGGGCACAATGGGGATCCCCCATCCCCAGACCAATCATGGTCTGTGGGTGAGGAAACATCTTGGCACCACCCCTTCCACTTGAAGCCCTTCTGGCCACTTCAAAAATTTCTGAGGTGGCTCCTGGCAAAAAATGATTGCCCACCCCTGCTTTAGGTGGTGGCCTCTGATCCTGTCTATTCAAACGGGGAGATGTCTCATATTGCAAGGAGGATCCTACCCGCAGTATTGCCTCAAGCTTCTGATGGACGTAGGGGCTGAGCATCTGGGAACACGTATTCCAGGGCGTGGAAAAACCCTGGGGAGGAGTTGCATTCAAAATGGAAAATGTGCCAGTAGTGGGGTTATGAGCAAGCTCTGTAGGCGGGAGGGAGTGGGGGTGGCAGGCGGCACGGACACACCCCTAGCACATCGGCCTTATCGTGTACCCTGGCGATGATTCACATTGGAAATTAGACCGTGTCCTGGGGATCCCACGAGCCCTGGGGACACCCATTGTGTTCGGCTAAGTGATGGTGCAGGGAGTCCTGTTCAGCTCTGCTCCCTCCCTCCTTTGATCCCCTTGGATATTGTAGGTGCAGGTTGTGGTCCTGGCGGAGCAGAGCAGAAACACCCCCTATTCTCCTCCTCTCCCCCCGACCAGGTCTCCGCTTTGCCGTGAGTGCAGGCCCCTTGTGTGCGTCATTCTCTGCCGCTGGAGCCACTCTGCCTCAGGCGGCCTTTCCTGCAGCTGGGGGTCTCTGCTTTCCAATTTGACCGCTGCACAGTCCAGACCCTCTTGTCTCCCAGGCCGAGGGCACCGCTAATGCAGAGGTCTGGCTAATAGGGGTTAGGGAAACCAGGAGCCATGTTATTCCCCGTTGGCAGACTGCGGAGGTGCATCTGAGCCACTTGCGCCTGCACATCGCTGTAATTAAAATGCCCGGCTTGGCTCCAGGCCCACGAACCAATCATTGTGTTACTGTAGCGGCTAGAGGATCAGGGCCCAGCTATAAAACCCAGAGTGAGAGAGAGTCCCCGCCCGGCAGAATTTAGAGTCTAAATTAGGGGTGAACAGTCATTTTTGATGAGGGGAGCGCTGCAATATTTTGGTAAGTGATCAAGGGCTGCACTTTTTTTTTCCTGTGCGGGGTCCAGGATGGAGGTGGGTGCAAAAGGAAGTTTGGGTGGGGAACTGGGGTGCAGGAGTGGGTGTGAGGTTTGAGGGGGAATTTGGGTGGAGGACGGGGTTGTGACCTGGGGCAGGAATTGGGGTGCAGGGTCAGGGAGGGGATATGGATGCAGGAGAGGATTCTGGCCTGGGGGAGGGGGTGCAGGGTCTGGGAGGAGTTGTGATCTGGAGGAGGTGGGGAGAGGGGATGCAGGGGTTTTGGATGGTGCAGGGAACAGGGAGTTCGGGGGAGGAAGGAGCTGGGTTCCTGGAATCCTGAGGCTCTCTGCCTGTTGTAGCCTCAAGCTACTCAAAATGGCTGGCTGCTCCCTGTGGCTCTCTGCTCTGGGCACGGGGGAGAAGGGGGAAACTTTGCGCTGCCCCTGCCCCTGCCCCCCAGCAAAATCCCTCAGCTCTCATTGGCTGGTTTCTGAGCTGAAAGGTTTTGCTGGATGGGAGGGGGGGTGTCAGCAGAACGTGAAGCCTCCTTCCCCTCCCTCTGGCACCCGGAGCAGAGAGCCACAGGGAGCAGCCAGCCGCTTAAAAGCAGCATGGGGCTCCTCGGAGGCGCCTGGCTGCTCTGTACCTGAGGGTGGCCCACGGGCCGGATCCAATGGCTTGGCAGGCCAGATGCAACCTGCGGGCCATATCTTGCTCAGCCCTGGTCTAAATAGACAACATGCGTGGTTATTCCCTGTTGGTGGGAGGGGAAGCGGGGCTCAGACAGGCGAGCTGAGTAACAGGCCAGGCTGGGGAGAGAACTCAGCCTTCCACAGTCAGTGCGGTGGTGCCTTAGCCCTATGAGCAGCTGTGCTTGGTAACCCAGGCCTGCCCCGACCCCGTGGTTAAAGGCAGAGACCTAAGAGCAGAAGGAAATCGGGTCAGCACGACTGGTGGAACCGAGGGGGATGAAATAGGAGTGGGGGGGCAGAGCTGCAGCGTCGAGATCCCTCCTCAAAGTTGTGGGCCCCGCATCTGGAATAGCGGTGGCTGCGGGGATGGAGTGTTGGAACTGCGCGTGTGCAGGGTTCCAGGAACGGGCTGTCATCAGTCCGCAGGGGAAGGGTGGTGCGAGCTGGAGAACACTGCTGCACCCCGGGCATAACGCTCTGCGTGCTCCGCCGGGCTATGCCCGGTACGACCTACTCTGTTTTCAAGCTGTAATTATGGCCCCACTGGCTCCCTGCCTGCCACAGCCCCAAGCTGCTCAAAACGCTGTAAAACGTTTCCATCTGCCTGTGTGCTCCAGGCCCCCACGCAAAGATCGTTATCGCAAAACTAAAGGAAGTGCGGTTGGAGGGTCACCGGGTCCAGTGTCTGACTAGCCCTGGGGGTTCAGAGCGAAAGGAGCCTCGAATTCCTCTGGGAATGTGCCTTCCCAATGTTCCCTTGCCCCCCACTAACATTGGGGTACACAGGAATGACTCTCAGTGCTGGTGATAAACCGTTCTGGCCAGGCCACAGAAGCCAGGCTCGGCAGAATGTCTCCTACTCCACCTCACCGTGTCCCTCACCCATCCCACACTGATGGAAGATCGCTCGCTCGTTCTTTGTACTTCAGTGCGGAAGAGCAGATTAAAGGGCCCTAGGCCTAGAACTCCTTGTCAGATCATTGAAAATCGTGCCTTAAATGCAGGAGGGCACCTGGCCCAGGTGTAGGGCTGAGAGTGGCCTGTCAAACCCAGTCATGGGTGAAGCAATTCATGGCCCACCCAGGCCTCAATACTGAACTGCCAGGAGCCACCAAGGACGGTGGGACCAGGCTGTGCTGAATGTTCTCAGGCCATGTTGGGGTTGATCTGCCTGCTGCTGCTCTTCCTTGGTACAATTTTTCAAGTCAAGTGCTGGCCGAGCGTAGCAAGGCGATTTGCTTGCTGAGACGAAGGGCCCCTCTCCCTGAGCTGAGCAAACCGGGGTTTGCCTCTCCGGCGTCTCCGAGGCGTAGCGGGCAGCTGGGACCAGGCTGTGCTGAATGTTCTCAGGCCATGTTGGGGTTGATCTGCCTGCTGCTGCTCTTCCTTGGTACAATTTTTCAAGTCAAGTGCTGGCCGAGCGTAGCAAGGCGATTTGCTTGCTGAGACGAAGGGCCCCTCTCCCTGAGCTGAGCAAACCGGGGTTTGCCTCTCCGGCGTCTCCGAGGCGTAGCGGGCAGCGTGTCAGCGATGTAAAATCCTGGTTCATCAGTTAACTGGTTAAAAGTTAGGTTGACCTAATGTTTAATCAGTTGACTGACTCAGGGGGATCCGGGCTGGGGTAGCACCCAGCCCTCGGGAATCCCCCATTGCCCACCCAGCCCCTCTCAGCGATGGGTCCCCCTGGGCCTAGAGCAGCCCATAGCCTGCAGCAGGGCCGGGATCTACTCTGGCCCCCACTGGTTACCGGTTAACCAGAGCTGGTAGGCATTACCCGTTTAGGCTGGGTAACCAGTTAACCTTTCAGATCCCTAGTAGAGGTGACAGGCCTGGGTCTGGCATTTGATTCTCATCTTTCTCTCTTGAGCTCTGAGTTACTTGCCTGGAGTCCAGCGAATGGCCTGGTTGAAGGATGGTCCGGTGCTAGGCCAAGCGCAGTCGCCTGTCCTGTGAGACTGTAAACCACGGTGTTAGGCCCAGATTCTTGCTACGGGGGCGTGCCTTGCTGAGCATAAAGCTTCATGCTGGAGCTGCCCCATATGGACGTAGCCAGCGCGACCGAAGAGGCGCCATGTTTGCATTATCACCTCATCTTTCAAACGGGACGACGCTAGTGACCTCTGCCCCTCTGAGTTGGCACACGGGGCAGCTAAAGCCACGTCTTCCCCCCCCTTCTGCATTTCCCAACCCCGACCCCTCTACTCCAGTGCAGTGTAGACAAGCAGCGAGTCTCGTGCTGATGGTACAGTGGGAATCCCACCTCAGGAGGCTTGCTGATGATCGGTACTTTAAAGGCAGGGCGCTCACACTGCAGCGATAAAAACAACAAATAGTCTGGTAGCACTTCATAGACTAACCAAACATGGAGATGGGATCATGAGCTTTCATGGGCACAGCCTACTTTTCAGATAACTCCGGTCATCTGAAGAAGTGAGCTGTGCCCACGAAAGCTCATGATCCCATCTCCATGTTTGGTTAGTCTATGAAGTGCTACCAGACTATTTGTTGTTTTTATCGCTGCAGTGTGAGCGCCCTCAGCAATAAAGACTTCTTTGCTAGGAGGTAATTCTGCCAGGAATCAGCAGGGTCAAGTTTGTGGATGTAGCTCCACTAAAAGGTTGTGCAGGAGGCCATTGGAGATGTAACCTCTGCTCAGGGCTAGTCTGTGAGCACGTTTTCCTCTTGTCTTTCAGATTGTTTGCAGGAGTTGTCCCTCGCATGACAGCCATCAGTCTGGGGGGCTTCATCTTTCTTGGGACATACGACAAAACTCGCAGCTTGCTGCTCTGACTTGCCATAGAGAGAGAGAGAGATCCCCGTGGATCACTGCAAAGCGCTGAAGACACGCCACTCTCGAGGAAACACGCCCTCCTCCTCCTCGGGTTGCTTTCTGCCCCCAAGTAGCTGCTTAGCAGCCAACACTTGTATTTTCACGATGAACAAAGGCCCTTAAATAATCCAATTTCTCTCACTTAAAATTTCCCAGTGTGGAAAGCCGTGAAGTCAGCGGGAGACTTGTGCCAAAAAAATAACAGGTGGGGTTTAAGCAGCTAAAGCCACCAGCTGCAATGAGCACGATCAGACCTGATGCAAGTAAAATGTGTTGTAAACCCAAAGAACATGAGCTGTGCAGCCAAGATGGAATAAAAGGAATGTTCATTATTTAGTCAGACCTGAGCCTCAGCATCGGGGCCATTTTTAATTCTGCGGAAGACTTGACCTAGCTGCACTCAGCAGGTGTTTAAAGACCAGAAAGTATCCTGAGGTGGGAGCGCTCTGGGAAGAATAGTGCCCACTTCTTTCTGATTTGAGCCATGTTGTGAAAGTTTATCCCACTGTTTATACCTGCAGGTGCATAGCAGGCACTCTTGCTTGGCAACCGATGCAGTTTGTTTTATGCGACTCGGATTTCGCCAGGAAACGTACAATGCTGTCTTATTTTACAGGTAGCCAATCCCAAGTGTGGACTATGCAAGACAGACAGCTCTTAAATCTGCTTTGGAGCTGAGCTTGTAGGGGTGAAGCACAAAATGGGAAAGGCCTGTTTGCGGAGAAATAGAAAATAGAGGTTCTCCTTGATGAAAGAGCAGATCACGCATAATAGCTGTCGGGGGTGATGCTAGCATGATTTCAGATTAGACTTCAATTCTGGCTTCAGCATAAAGATGCAAGTGTTAAAATCAGTGAGTGGACTAGCTTTGGAGCTGAGCTTGTAGGGGTGAAGCACAAAATGGGAAAGGCCTGTTTGCGGAGAAATAGAAAATAGAGGTTCTCCTTGATGAAAGAGCAGATCACGCATAATAGCTGTCGGGGGTGATGCTAGCATGATTTCAGATTAGACTTCAATTCTGGCTTCAGCATAAAGATGCAAGTGTTAAAATCAGTGAGTGGACTATGGGGCAGGGCTATAAAGCAAATATTAAAGGCTTTGCGAAAAGCTATTATTTTGGCTCCATTGAAATGATCAAGGCAAAGGCCCAAGATTTTGAATATTTAAGGGGAAAAAAACCACTGCCTAATGTATAGCTTGGATTAGTTACACCTTCAAAACCTTTAAGGAACCTGAAACTGCAGAATGAAGGCACGTCCACAATAAAGTTTTGTAGACGCAGTGAGGCATACGTCCTCATAAAAATATAGGCAAATGTAATAGTGCCACTTAGTTTGTGTCAAATTAATATATGCAGTAACACTAGCAGCCTGCTCTCTGCTACAGCACTTTATGCTAGATCTGTAGTGACTGATAACTGATATTTAATTGTGAGAGTTCAGAGAAACCAGCTGCCTTTATGTAGAAGACTAACCTATAGCACTTGATCAGTAGAGCCCTAGATACAAAATTGGTATCCATAGCTGCAGCTGCAAAAATGAACCCTGGGTATCCACATCCATGGATTAGAGGGGTTCTAGATTTATAAAAGTGTGTCCATACCGTATCTGCAAAAATGAGCCGTGGCTATCTCCAGCCGCCAATGCAGATACAAATCCATGGGTCTGTAGGGCTCTATGGATCAGCTAACAGTAGGAGAACTTGCAGAACAAAGGGACTAAACTCTTAATCGCAGAGTAAAACTGGAATTTCAACACATTGTTTCCCACTTATTTCCCAAGACATTTTTAGTGCAGTTGGCCAGCCAGTCTGGGACTATTTGCCACGACGCTGTAGCAATACTGCAGGACACTTCTAGCACAATCTGTCAGCACAACCTAGTTAAGGAACTTACACAATACATTTTTCTGTATTGAGTTGATCCATTTTTTGGATGGGAAGGTCTGGGCAGCTGAAGGTGAGGATTTATCATTGATTGACAAGGCTAGTTACTACCTCACCACTCCTTATGTGTTTGTTTTCCAATAAGCAGGCTGCTGTTTGTTTATTTTCCAACCAGCATTCAGATTTTGCTTGGGTCACTGTTTTTGTGCTTTTGAAACAACAGTTCTGGAATCGGCTGTTATGATGATGCAGCTTGTTTTAATCCCAACAAAGTCTAGCCTTCTGTAATGATGATGGCCACATGTGCCTTGTTTGTAGTCCCAGACCAAAATGGTGTTTAAATATACGGCAAGCGTGTCAGTAACCTAGTGTAGTAACTTAGCCCCCAGAGCCGTGCCATGTATTTCACTCTATCCCAAAACCAGGCCTTCGAAACACAGGAAATTGAGTTAAGGTTAAATGCACAGGCTGTTCAAACATGGTAAGGGACAGCTATGAGGGCTTGATTGTGTACATGTGTAAATGGTTAAGCAGTGAACCTGGGCTCATCGATTAACCTTCATGGTTACGTGCAAGACTCCCCCTCCCACCACGCTGCTGCCTCTGTATCAGCAGCATGAAGGGGGGAGGCAGCTCCATGGGAGCCGGTATGTGCAGAGCCGTCTCCCCCCCGTGTGTAAGCGCATAGCCGAACATTTCAGCGGTTATCCCTAATGGCTACACAAAGCACCTCCCCATTGTTCGAGAGTGATGCCATGTAACAGCTGTCCTTGCAATCGGTGCACAAACAAGTGTGTGGTCACAGTGTTCCGCAGACATTCACAGAGCATCCCTCGTGCTGTGCACCGTGCTGCCGCCCAGGGAACCTTGAAGAGCCGTCACCGTGGAGAGATCGCCCGCCGGAGAGATGCCTTTTCATTCTCCAGCTCTCTCTGCACTTGTCGTCTAGGATGGAGGCCCATGAAAGCAGTGCTGCTGTAGAGACAGGTAGGTCCACCTTCTCTGTCGCAAACCATGGAGGGTGCAGCTATGGGCCCTGGTTTCTGAGCACCCATCTCGGGGACAACCCAGTGTCCCCGGATGACGCAGCCCTGCTCTGAGTGGAAGAATGGGACTGAGAGGGAGGCTACTTACTCTGCAGATAAGCAGCAACAATGCTGGAGCGGATACAAGGACCTTTTACCTTGTACCACACTCCTTTCAGTGAGGGGCTGGCTCTGTACAGAGAGCCCTTGGACTCGGGCATGGGGCCCCAAGCTACCAAATTAAGTGTAGCACTGGCTTGAGCACAAGCTGGAGCTGGCAGCTCTGGGACAGTCCTTCCTAGAAGTCTCTGTGACAGACTATCATCACCCCCAGTTGAAGGAGACACTTTCAGCCAATAATCGGGAAAGAGACCATTCATCTCTTAAAAAGAGAAACGTCTCTGCACATGATTTCACTGAGACAGAACTTTCCATGAAGTCTGAAAAATGTATATTAGCCTATACCAGAGGGCCCAAGCGGACACTAAATTCCACAATGAACCCATTGAGTTGTAGATTCTCAGAGAACTCACTGTCTTCTCAAAGAGTGATAGTTTTTGGAGGAGCTACACTTAAAAACAAAAGAACCCCATCATGAAGATCAGAGGCACTGACATTCTGTGGCCCCTGGGACAAGGGCCACAATCTGTCAGTGCCTCTGATCTTCGTTATGGGGGTCTTTTGTTTTTAAGTGTAGCTCCTCCAGGCAACCCTCAGTGCTGCCCCGAGTGCAGCAGCTCCCCCCCACCCCACCTTTAGCCCTGCCTGGAGCACACAGTGCGGCGCTCTGGTGGCAATTTAAAGGGCCGGGGGCTCCAGCTGCTGCCTCAGTAGCAGTTTGGAATCACCCAGCCCCAGGGCAATTGCCCCTTCCCCTCCCCCAGTTGGCAAGCCTGACAGATTGAATATTTTGCTTGAAATGTAAAATTAAGCTCATCCTTAACTATGATGCTGTAACTGATGCCTGCGTAATAGGTAGTGGTGGTCTTGTAAGTGGGACTAGGAGTGAAGGTGTTCAGACCCGTTGCTGAAGCGGTCCTGTATGTGGCCCATGTGGCTTTGACACCAGCGTCCGAGACCTTTAGGCAATTGGTCGTTTTTGTATTAGACATTTACTGCCTAGCGGTTCATTGCTGTGTGTGTGTCTCAGCAAGGACTCCCAGTTCTCCTGCCCCCTGGGCATGCTTCCACAGGATCCAGTGTTGGCAAATGCTACAGAATTCGACATCTATTTGAATTCAGTTTGAATTCAAACTGGCATGTTGAAAAGGTTCTGCCCAATATTGTTAACACATTTCCATTAGAAACAGACAGGAGAGCGTAGCAACTGGTTGGATTTATTTATTTTTTTTAACAAACTCTGAAAAGCTCACGCCCAACAACAACAAAAAAGCTGTATTATTATAAATGAACCTTTATTAAAGACACTTCAATGCCATTTGTTAGACACTTCCAATATTTTACATTTTTTTCAATGTACAATATTGTACCAAATTTTCTAATAAATAAATAACTTTGTACACAAAAGTAATACTTCCTCTTTCACATTGCCTCTCAGAAGCAGCAGATTCACATATTTAGTGGAAGTAACAACATTAGACAGTTAACTTTATTAAAAATACATTATTTTCAAATGTTAGTGTGGCAAATGTGCTTAATATTTGCAACGGTGATGATGACATTTCTGCCAGCAAAATTGGTCAGTTAAGTCATTCGCATTTTCCTTGTGTATGTCCCGCCATATCCTGCTGCTATTTTCACCTTTAGCATACATTCGAAAGTATATTTTTCCTCAGTTCAGAGGACAAATACACAATTTGTTTATTTGCTATCACCCATCTCCTTCTCTTTTAATTTGCTGAATAGTTAAAAGTTGGCACTCAACATAATTAGTCACCTGCCACAAAGTGCAAATGTGTCTACAGTTAGAAACTGGTCTAGACAGGTAGCTGGCGAAATTATGCCTTGCTCCATAAAAGCCAGGGTCAGCCTTTCCTTGGGTCACAGGACAGAGATCAGTTATGAAGGGTGGCTGTCTTTTAAAGAAGATGGACTTTGGGGATAGCTTGGAATAATATGAGTGGGTTACTTTAGCCCTGATGTGGAAAAGTACTAGTTGTTTAGTGTTGTCCTGGAGACGCATGCTTTTCTGAATCAAGGTCCTGATCAGTTCTCACTGCCCTATGCTTGTTGTGAGTTACTGTAATGACACGAGCAGGATTTCCACCAGACCCTGCTCTGCTGAAACTGGCCTTTAGTTGCTTCTAAGAAAAAAAATGAAACAAAACAAAAAAACCCACCAACCTTTCCCCAGAGTAGTCATCACCAAAGTCTAGCAACTCAAGATTCCAAAGAACAGAAAACCAACCAACCCATCCATCCACAGGTTCCCATAACCAACAGAAGCAGCCTCACTAAAAATAAAAAGCTTCAGCCTTAAGTTATAAGTGACACAGAGCCATGTGATCAGTTAGGGGTTTGTTTGTTTGGGGTTTTTGAAATCATGGATGAACTTAAAGACCACATAGCATGTAGACCTTGTTCCTTTTAACTGGTGAGGCCATCTACCACCCTATACCCTTATTTCTAAACCAGAATATTTCCGAATAGCTTGGAACTGCTGCATAAACAGGTAATCATATACCTGAAATGAACATCTGCATGCAAGGAGAAAGCTGGGGGGGGGGGAGAGGCTTGCTGCAGTTCTAGGGAATCTATGTAGAGCAAAGAGCTTCATATAATGCCAGAGAGAAAACTGGTTAGGTGTTGCAGGCTATCGCCTGCACACAGCCAGTATTACAGTAAGTTGGGGATGACCCGGAAGGGCGGGGGGGTTGAATTCTGACACAGGTGCAAAAAGAAAAACAAACCCATCCCCAACTGCATGTATTTTTTGTTAGAAATTTCAGCTCTCTGTTTTTCAAGTGTCCACAGTAGTTTAATTCAGCTTGCCTCTATAAATTACTGCAGAACAGTACAGACTGTCACCATAGATCATTTAACCTTTAGCTCTTCACGGCAGGTCTAAAGGTAATGGATTTTAAGTTCTTCCATAAAGAAAAAAAAAAGAAAGTCAGGTTGCTATGTGTTACTTTGTCTTTTTTTGGTAATTGCTTGGCTCTCCCTATAAACTCTATTTAGCGTTTCTTTGAAATAATTTAAGATCTCAGTTTAAACCTGCTAAGTGCAATACATTTCAGGGGGGAGGGGATTTGTGCTAAAATAACCCAATCAATGCTTGATTTAAAGGAATTTCCATTGCCAAACATGATAATTCCTTTGAAACAGCCTGGGTTTTTAAAGTTCTGCTTATGCATTAAGGCACCAGAATTCTTTCTCTTGAAAAATTTAACAGCAACCTGATACTGAAAATAATATTGCCAAAACTTTGTAAAGTTTCACTCAGTTATCCATGCACTAAAGATTAAAATAGCCTCTGTAAAAGATATATATATTTATATATAATATGAAAACTCTTATGTACAACTGTATCAAATACTTTTCTCTACACAATCGTCCCTTGCAAGTATGTGCTTCGTATGCAAGTCAACTTTTGAACTAGTAATACTTCTCACTGAAGTTTTAAACTATGTACACACAGGTGACGCTCAAGCAGGAGTTTGTTCCCCACAGAAGCTTGTTTCTCATACCTCATTTGTTTCCTTTTCCTTTGAGAGGGTGTCCGTTCAAGAGTTGAGGTAGAAGTAAGTAGCCTAGCTATTCTGTGCAAAAAAATTAGTAGGTTTGTTCATTTGCACATGGCAGTATCCCTCTCCCCCCCCCCTCAATCCATTGATCTTATTGGTGGTTTCAACTCATGAGTGGAGTCTTGTAATTTGGGTAGGTATCCATTGGAAAGAAGAGTTTGTTTAGCTTCAGCCTCTCCCTGTAAATCCAGTGATGTCAGTGACATTTCAGGTGTCCCTTTTAGCTGCTGAACTGAGTCTTCTGAAGGGGAAGCTCGCAAATTAAGGTTATTATGGTCTGAATCATTCACTAAAGGCTGTGAAGAGCCTGTAAGAAAGTAAGGGCAGTACAGAGGTTGATTAGCTGGTGCTGAGAATACCACCATTACTGCAACACAGAACAATCATTAAAAACCAACCACCCCCTATCCTGCACTTAATACTAAAGATTACTAAAGCGTAATAAAAGCAAGGCATGGCACCAAGAGGAAACAGGACATTTATGTCATCGGACTGGTACGACGTGGTGGTGGGGAAGAGATCCCAAGAAAAATGCCTACCTTGTCTTTCCACATGCAGTGGCTGATTCATGCAGGACGACGGTGGCATTCTGTCATGGTTGCTGGGATACAGCGTACTATCGGTGTCCATTCTCTGAGTGCTGGCAACCGTAACACACTGTTGATGGTGAAGAGGATTGCTGCCTCTGCTCCTGCTCCTACTTGGCTCTTTTCGGCTTAATGCATTTTGATGTGTGTTCTCCATAGTCTCAGCTGGCTGAGAATAATAGTCTGGATCCTTGGGGTAAATGTTGACGTTCATACTGTCTGTACTTCCGCTACAGTCAGTGCATACAACCGGTAGGCCGTACCCTTTGTGGAGGGTGAGAAAAAGGCAACAATTGAAGTTAAGCACAGCCAGCTTGAAGCAGTCATTCTAGCACCAAAGTAGTTGGAGAAGGAAAAGACATCTCAAACCACTTCTCTGCTTTCAAATATACGGTTCTCTATTTTCCTACCAATCGCGCTAAATCCTGCCCTTTTCAGAACTTTAGATCTCCCAGTATCCCTGACGGTAGCTCAAACGACTAGGACGACTCTGTCCCACTGCACATATTTATTTCTGTTGGAGCCAGAAAGACACCTTACAGGTTTTATGTATTTCTCTTCCATTGCTATTTCCTACTTCATGGCTAAGCAGACAGCACAGAGAAGGGAGGTGGAATTCTGCAGTGGCTGTTGCTGAAAAGGAGTATGTTATCTTTTTAGTACTTTTGTTTTTAAAGGGACATTGTCAACTGAAATCACAGCTTGATCTGAAAATTATTTTGCGTATGGTTGACAGGAAGAACATCAAAAAGGACTCTGGTAGGAAGAGGAGGAAGTCCTGTTTTCTCCCCTGGTTTATTTTGTTTATCTGCACTCGGTCAGTTAGTTGGTTTTCATCATTTCCCATAGAGAATCCGTTAGATTCCCATGCTGAGTGGCTCTTTACATACAGCATGCGGAGAGGGAAAAAAATCACTTTAAAAATGTAACGAACGCCACACCCACTGGCAAAGAGACTGAGGAGGTGTAGTGCCCAAAACTACTTTTGATTTGATTTTTAAAATCCTAATTACTTTCAAGTTGACAGTCCCTTGATGGGGCCTCTGTTGAAAATGTCTAACACCTTCCACTTGAAATTGCTCTTCCATGTTAGCAATGAGCTTAATACCCAATCAAGCTGCAGTGGTGCTAATTAGTCATATGTCTGTCCTTTCCTGGCTCTTCATTAAGATCAAACTATTGTTACAAATAAATAAGCATGAGAAAAATGATCTTGTTTTAACTGCATCTGAGAATCACTCTCGGCATACTTTTGGGCAACGTATCTTCTCAGTTGTAACACTGACTCGCAAATGATTTCTGATCTGTGCTAACATGAAATAATCTTTGCAGATTAATGTGTTTGGTACCTGTCTTATCTGGCACAAGCATTCCATCCTCTGAGTCTTCTGTTTTCCAAGTGTCTTTACTGTATCCTACACATAGCTTCGGCTGTCTGCAAGCTACAGTGGGAGCTTCATCATCTGGACCTCTTCCACCATCAGTCTGACACACACCTATAACAAAAGAACCAGCTGGCTAAAGATTACAACCATCTGCTCTTTCAATTGAAACAGTCATTTAAACAGCACAAGGGATTGCAATGGAAATGGCAGATAATTCTGAGTCGATTTTTCAAGGACTTTTTTGGCTAATGATAATCCAGAAATTTAACCTTTCCACTTGAACACGTTGTCTTTTCCAATACTGTATGATGTTAGCTTTTAACCTGTAAGCACATTTTGGCAATGACAATGGGTTTTATATTAGAATTTAGTTGCGGAGCTACAGAACTAGCTCAGTGTTGGCCAAACCCATTCTTCCAGGCCTAAGTAGTCACCAAAGGAATCTGTTTTGATGAGAGAAATTACTACTGGGAAAGCAGGGCTGTCAATTGACCTGGGATTAACGCAGGACAGGATTAACGCGTTACTCCTTTTAACGTGTTAATCGCAGGCGGTAATGCTGCACTGCCCCTCTGAAGTGCAGTTTTGGCGCTTTAAAGGGGCAGTGCATTAGGAACCTGGGGTCAGCTGGGGACTCCAGCTGATCCTGGGCTTCCACAGCCCTGCCCTTTTGAAACGCTACCGCAGCTTTTCAGAGGGGCAGCGCACGCCATGAATCATGATTACATTTTTTAAAATCGCTTGACAGCCCTACTGGGAAAGGTGTTTTCTTCTGTGTCTGCTAAGTGTGGGGCATGTCTCTGCTGGTGCCCCAGTAGAGCACATCAGCCAGACATACAGATCTTCCGAATAGCTCACAATAAGCAGAAGAGTAGCAGGCACTAAAGTTTCATTGATCCCTTCTCACACCAAAATAAAAAACAGGACTGTGTAGCACTTAAAGACTAACAAGATGGTTTAATAGGTGATGAGCTTTCGTGGGCCAGACCCACTTTGATCTGAGGAAGTGGGTCTGGCCCACGAAAGCTCATCACCTATTAAACCATCTTGTTAGTCTTTAAGTGCTACACAGTCCTGTTTTTTGTTTCAGCTGCACCAGACTAACACAGCTACATTTCGACCACTTCTCACACCAAGAGTGGATACAGCATATTCAACTCAGAATCCAATTCATACCATTGTTCTCTATGTGCCCATTAGGCGGTTGGTTGCTGCTATCGACTCTGACGACTACCTCTTGTCTGTCAGAGAGAGTCCCCTGCGAGGACAGGTAGCTTGGCACATCAGGCGGTACGATGGTCTCGTCTGCAACAAGAAGTAAAGACAAATGTGACGCTCCAGCCCTTCTACCCAAGGAGTTATGCTCCTGTGTGGTTTTTGAGGGCGTCAGTCCCGCTGACTTTAAAGGCCTCTCGGAAGTGACCAAAGACTTTGGATGTCTGCATTGTTGGGTGACATTTTAAAGTGGTTTTTCAGACCACACTGAGCATCTGCCCTTGGTGGGCCCCTTTAAGGTACCATGAATTGAGTGCCTCAAAATTTAGGCACTACCCATCCCAAGGAACTTGTGAAAATCTTGGTGCCTTGAAAATGGGACGTAGGTTCCTACATTTTAAAAAAGGGCTAGAGAATAAGACAGAGAACATCTTATTGCTTCTATATAAACCCATGGTACGCCTATATCTTGAATACTGCGTCTCAGTTCAAAGACGACACATCGACAGTAGAAAAGGTTCAGAAAAGGGCAACAAAAATGATGAGGGGTTTGGAATGGGTCCCGTACGAAGAGAGATTAAAAAGACAGACTTTTCAGCTTAGAAAAGAGGAGACAAAGCAGGAACACGATAGGGGTCTATAAAATCATGATTGGTGTGGAAAAGGAAACATTATTTACTTGTTCCCATAACATAAGAACTTGGGGTCACCAAATGAAATTAAAAGGCAGCAGGTTTAAAACAAAAGGAAATTTTTCTTCAGGTTGTGCACAGTCAGCCAGTGGAACTCCTCGCCAGAGGATTTTGTGTAGACCAGAACCATAACAGGGTTCAAAAAAGAACTAGATAAATTCATGGAGGTTAGGTCCATCAATGACTATTAGCCAGGATGGGTAGGAATGGTGTCCCGAATCTGTTTGTCAGAAGCTGGGAATGGGTGACAGGTGAGGGATCACTTGATGATTCCCTGTTCTGTTGACTCCCTTTGGGGCATCTGGCATTGGCCACTGTCAGCAGACAGGACAGTGGGCTAGATGGACCTTTGATCTGACCTGTTCAGCGTGGCCGTTCTTATGTTCTTATTAAGGAGATTGACCCTACGGCTTTCATAACTGTGTGACTAGAGAAGACCGCGGCCTGCATGCTTTCTACAGTCAGAGAGCAGTTACAGCCTTCGTGTCTCTTCAGACCCCTGCCAGGGCTCCTCTGAGCTGTCAGAGTGGCAGGTTGCAGAATAATAATGGTTGCTTTCTGCATTTTTAATAAGGGTTGTCAGTGGCTCAGTAGCAACCAACTCCATTTGTACCAGGCCCTGACTCATGCAAACACCAGGCCAGAAGACGAACAGTAACAACGGTCCAGGGGGCTGCTGTGCAGGGCACCAGCTTCAGTCTGATTTTATTTCAGCCACCCTCTGATAAATATGCAATTACCTGAACACTATTACGCTAGCTCATCCCCCTGGCACAAAGCAAACAAGCAATTGCTCTGGGAAAGAAAAAGGAACTAGGAGTTGTACACACTGCAGCTCCATTGCAAGGAAAGGAACAGTTTCTTTTCTCTAGAGGAATTAATATCATTGCTACATGAACGTATTAATTTTCCTGTTGCCTGAACCTGCTGCCTGAACTTAAAAGGAGCATCTCTCTGTTCACAGATTTACTATTTGCCACAGCAACTGGCCTGGTTTTTCAAACTGCCTTCACCCAGAGGGCAGCCCTCTGGCTAGATCTTGGGTCACTAGTCCAGGTTCAGCCCTTGAGACTGGTCTTCCCTTGGCCAGTCCTGTCCCACTCCCCTTCCCCCACCACAAACTGTCAACTCAGATCGATCCGGTACCACGTCCCTCCTTTTTCGGAACTGGCCCTGTAACGACCTGACCTGCCCCCATTTAGAAAGGGAGCAATCATGGCAATGCCGCAAGGGTTAAAAAAATAAATTCCGTGTCAGAGGGTTCTGCAGAAACTTTGCGGAGGGGAAATTTGGATACAACGTTGTAGTTTCCGCAGGCCTCTCCAACCCTGGAGCTCCGTATGTACTGCCCCCACTTGTGGAGAAGATTAAAGGGATACAGCAGCAAATCCCAGGAAAGGATCAGACGGTCACTCAGCAGCCTCGGCTCGGAGACCAGGAAGCGGCCCCAACAGGCTTACACTGACTTATTCCCCCAGATCCCAGACAGCCTGTCCTCAAACTGTCCACCGAGCGACTGTGGCCCCAGTGTGGTGAGGTCAGTACTCAAAGTGGAAACGGGGTTTCCTGTATCACAAGCGAGGCCTGGTTAACCCAGATCGCAACTTGGCTTCTGACAGTGGCTAGAGAAAACCTGCCAGGCTCAGAGTCAGAAGCTGGCTGTGGCTGGAAGGAAGAGGACTTGTTGATCAGCCGAACAGGCCATAAACTCACAGCCCCGAACGTTCTTCAGTAGCAAGTGACAGCTGGGAACAGCTTCCTGAGCTGAACCAGGCCCATGACACGGGGACTCTGTCACGGAGATCAGCCTTGTAAGGAGGAGCTAGGGATGGCTGACCCCGCTGAGGGATGGCACGCAAACCGTTCCCCGGACCCGGGAGTCCTTGGCCAAGTTTGGTGCTTACCTGTGTTGGTGACACTGTATTCTTCACTCTTCCTTCTGGTCTGGTATATGATACACACCCAGACCAAAGACGTCAGCACAATGCTGCACACCACTGCGATGGTGATAATCCCCACCGTCATCCTGTCCTTCCTGCAGCCAAGGGATTGCAAGATGCTGACCTGGCTGTGTGCCCGCTCCGTACCAAGAGTGTTGGACATTTCACAGGTGTATTTCCCAGCATCCTCCAGCACAACATTCCGAACGATCAGCAGCTGGTTACCGGGAGTGAAATGATGCCTGTCTGTCACTACCAGTGGCTGGTCCCCTTTCAGCCAGGTGATGCGTGGAGGTGGGCTTCCCGTTGCTTTGCACTGAAGGGCCACTGTTTCACCTACTGACACGACGTGATCCTCCAGTGGGTGGATCAAGGATGGCGTCTCTGCAGGGTTTTTAAGTACAAACATTAAGTTTCTGAAGGGGGATGTGATGATTCATCATTTAGACCAGCGGTTCCCAACCTTTTCCAGATGGGGACCCATTTTGACAATTCAGGAAGACTTGGTGACCCAAGGCAATTCAAAAATGGGAGGAGAAGAGGGAGTTGAGCCACCGGGGGAGACACTTGGTGACCCTTTTGAAATGTAATGGCGACCCATATTTGGGTCCTGACCCATAGGTTGGGAAACCCTAATCTAGACTGAGCGAACCAACAAGCCTTTCTGCAGGAACAATTAGCCAAGTTCTACAGATTGGCTAAGAACACAGGGTCTCAAATTCTGGTTGGACCTTCTCCACTGCACACCAATATCATAACCTGCACCTTTAATTATCAGTTCTGCTTTAGTTCTCTTCCCATATCCTACACAAGAAACTTAGGCCATAGCCTAATCCTCCTGTGTACCCCCTCCCCGCACTGCAGAAGGAATAACAGTGGTCCCATATCAATAACTTGCAGGGCAGGCTGGCGGAGTTGAGTTTCTCCTACACGTTTTCCATTGGCAGGAGAGGCATATAGCATGACTTAATGAGTTTCCCCTTTAGAAGAAGTGGGACTTCCAACAGAAACAAGACTCAGACTCAAGTATCTGGGTTCTCTCACGGTCACCCCCAACTGCCTCATGACTAGGTCTCTGTGGCTTCAGACAACTCAAGCCTTCCCTACGAAAACCATTTCGGAAACTCAAAATGGGCCCTTTGCCTGTACTGTTTGGATCCCCAAGGAAGCAAAGCTTCTTGCCTAGCACAGTCAGGGTGGCGTTGGCCAACACAGAGCCCGCGGAGTTCTGCGCCGTGCAGCTGTAAACGCCCATGTCCTCTATCTTCACGTCTGTGATGAAGAAGACGTCATCGTCTGGCATGACGTGCATGCGGCGCTCCCGGGCTGCTGGGAAGTCGGTGCCTCCGTCCTTCTGCCAAGCAATTTGGGGGACAGGGAAGCCATTGGCTGCACATTCCAGCCGCGCTGTTGTTCCGGTTCGGCTGGTGATGTCATGGGGAGTCTTGGTAAACGAAGGCAACACTGAAAGAAGAGGGAGGAGGGGCAGAAGGGAGAGTGACAAACAGCTTTACGTACATGAACACAGCCTTCCTGATGTCAGAGAACCTTCCTCCTGGACATGCTTCTGGGATCAGTCTCCAGGGTATGAACCAAATAAAAACCATCCTCCTTCTAAAAAGAAATGTTATTCGAGATGTTCCCTCTT